TGCGGGTGCAGGGGCCCAAGGACTCGGGCCATCTTCTACTGCTTTCCCAGGCCACAGCAGAGAACTGAATTGGAAGAGGAGCAGCCAGGACTTGGAACTGGTGCCCATATGGGATGCCGGCACTGCAGGCGGCGGCTTTTCCCGCTACTCCACAGCTCCGGCCCCTCTTAATTTCTTTTAAATCATCTGCAAATGGTAGGTTTCAGTATTAGCCTTTTTGTGGGCACGTCTTTTTTTTTTAAGATTTATTTATTTATTTGAAAGTCAGAGTTACAAAGAGAAAGAAGGAAAGGCAGAGAGAGAGCGAGAGCGAGAGAGAGGTCTTCTATCCGCTGGTTCACTCCTCAACTGGCCACAATGACTGGAGCTGTGCCAATCTGAAGTCAGGAGCTAGGAGCTTCTTCGGGGTCTCCCACATGGGTGCAGGGGCCCAAGTCAGGCCATCTTCCACTGCTTTCCCAGGCCACAGTAGAGAGCTGGATCGGAAGTGGAGCAGCCAGAACTTGAATTGGTGCCTATATAGGATGCCGGCACTGCAGGTGGTGGCTTTACCCGCTTTGCCACAGCACCAACCCCAATGGGCATGTCTTTTAGCATCAGGTTCCACATTCTCTTATCTTTTAATAGCTTTATCTGTATAACAATTTTACTTATATCAAATTGCTTACCTTATGTGAAATCACTTTTTCTGAGTTTTCATGGAGTATTGCACTGAACCAACTTCCTAGCCTCATCCTGCAGAGTCCTTCGTTTTTATGAAATGCTGTAAGAAGGCGGCCTCGAACCTGCTCAGCTGTCTTGGCTTTTTACCTCACACCCTTGGATCTGAATTTTCTCTTTCCTTTCCCCTTGTTTTATTGCTGAACTTGAATTTTGCTTCCAAAAGTTTCTCTTCCTGAGGAAACTTCAACTTGGATGGCAGCTTCCATTTGTAAGACTGAAGAATTTACAAGGCCTGGACTCCTTGGGGACTGCCTTTTTCTAGTACCTTCGTCCTCACCCAAAAATTGGATCCAATACAGCACTTCCTCTCTCTCTCTCTCTCTCTCTCTCTCTCTCTCTCTCTCTCTCCGCTCTGGCTGCTGTTCTTGGATGTCCAGTGAGCACCTGGTGGGGATTTGTGGTTTTCCTGTGCTTATGCCCAGCTGACAAGCCATTGTGTCTCCAGCTTCCGCCTCTCTAAGCCAGCACCCACTAGTGTTTGGGGTTTATGGGAATCTACTGTTAAGTAGATACTGTTGAGTCAATAATGCCTATTATTGACTATGGGGTTTTGATTACATTATCCTAGTGCAGGGTTATGGGCAAATTGAATAGATTAAAAATTATACAATCCTGCCTTTGAACGGCCCTTATTGGGACTGTTGAGGAACGTTTTATTTGTTTTTGTTTTCTTTCTCATACAAACTTTGGAACTCTTTACCTAGAGTAGAGTTAATCTTCTGTGTATAAAGTTAGTTGAAAATAGATCTTAGTAAAAAATAAGACTGGGAATGGGAGAGGGGGGAGGAAAAGGCTGGGAGTGTGGGTGGGAGAGCGGCGTGCTAGAAATAATTACTATGTTTCTAAAGTTATATTTATGAAATGCAAGCAAAACAAACAAACAAAAAAAAAACTATGCACTCTCTGCTGTCATCTTTCCAGAGCTGATGACTAGGTATTTTGTCAAACTCCTCAGAGAATTGCAACCCACGTACCAGGGCTGCGATCCATTGGTCTGGGGCTGTGGTACAGTGGCTAAAGCAGCCGCCTGCAGTGCTGGAATCCCATGTGGGCTCCGGTTCGAGTCCCGGCTGCTCTATTTCCAATCCAGCTCTCTGCTAAGGCCTGGGAAATCAGTGGAAGACGGCCCAAGGCCTTGGGCCCCTGTACCCACATGGAAGACCCAGAATTGCCTGTCTCCTGGCTTCAGATTGGTCCATCTCCAGCTGTTGCAGCCATCTGGGGAGTGAACCAGTGGATGGAAGACCTCTCTCCTCTCTCTCTACCTTTGCCTCTCTGTAACTGCCTTTCAAATAAATAAATTAATTTGAAAAAAAGAAGAAAGAAAATGGTTTTCATTTAAAGAGAGAGAGAGAGATCCATTGGTCTAACTGTTCAATTACTGCTTTCTGGGACCCTTTTTTGCCTTAGGATTCAGTTTCCAGGGCTCCTCTCCTCCGACTGTCCTAGTCTACACTGGTAATTCTCCACCAAGGCTTTGTTTTTTTTCCACTTAAAGTCTCATCTTCATAGTGGGTGCTTGGTCTAGCAGCGAAGCCTGTGGTTGGGATACCCATATCCCACCTCACAATGACTGGGTTCCACGCCTGGCTGCTGCTAACTACGTGTCAGTGCAGACCCTGGGAGGCAGTGGTGATGGCTCAAGTGATTGGTTTCTGCCACCCACAGAGATGTGGATTGAGTTCTCGGCTTGGCACAGTACTGGACACTGTGGGAATTGGAGAGTGAACCAGTGAATGGGAGCTCTCTCTGTTTTGCCCTCTTTTTTGTCTGTTAAATAAAAAAAAAAAATTCCACTCTCATGTCTCTGGAATCCTCCAAATGTTATCTCTCTGGTTGTTTCTATGGTTGAGGCTGAGTTACTCTAACTTATTCTTCACAGGCCATGCAAATTGTTGTAATATTCTTTAAAAATTTTAATTGGCACACAATAATTGTGTGTGTTTATGGGGTGCATGTGATAACTTGATACTTGTATTCAATGCACAGTGATCCAATCAGGGTGATCAGCGCTTTGATTTCCTTAAACGTTGGCCACGTCTTCGTGTTGGGAACCCTCACATGGCTCTCTCGTAGTTCTTCACAACCTTCATAACCAACGTCTCTCATTGTTCCCACTTTTCTCTTCACTTCTCGGCCTCTGGGAACCATTCTTCTGCTCTCTACCTCGCTGAGATAAACTTTTTTGGCTTCCACATATGAGTGAGAACATACATTATTTATCTTTCTGTGCCTGGCTTATTTTATTTAACATTAACGCACTTCCGTTCTATCCATGTTGCCTTAAATGACACCATTTTATTCTAAAATTATTGCCACATTCTTTTTTTTTTTTTTTTCAGGCATAGTGGACAGTGAGAGAGAGACAGAGAGAAAGGTCTTCCTTTGCCGTTGGTTCACCCTCCAATGGCCGCCGCAGCTAGCGCACTGCACTGATCTGAAGGCAGGAACCAGGTGCTTCTGGTCTCCCATGGGGTGCAGGGCCCAAGCACCTAGGCCATCCTCCACTGCACTCCTGGGCCATAGCAGAGAGCTGGCCTGGAAGAGGGGCAACCGGGACAGAATCCGGCGCCCTGACCGGGACTAGAACCTGGTGTGCCAGTGCCGCAAGGTGGAGGATTAGCCTATTGAGCCACGGCGCCGGCCAGCCACATTCTTAAAGTTTTTGTTTGTTTGTTTGTTTGAGAGGCGGGAGAAGGAGTTCTATCCACTGGTTTACTCCCAAAATGCCTACGCCAGCTAGGGCACAGCCAGACAGAAACCAGGGACCAGGAACTCCACTCGGGGCTCCCACATAGATAGTAGGGACCCAAGTTCTTGAGCCATCCAAGGATGAACATTAGTAGGAAGGCAGATGGGAAGCAGAGGGGGTACTGGATCCCAGACACCCCAGTACGGAACAAGAGCGTTCCAGGCGGAAGTTTAACCCGCCACACAACGCCTACCGCAATGCTGTAATATTCTTAACTGGCCAACCTTCCCCACCTGAACACCGCTTTCCTACGACAACCAGAAAGACTTCTCTGGCCACTTCACTCCGCTTTGCTGAACAACCATTACTGCCTGTCCAACGTTCTCAAGGCTCCCTCTTCCTAACTCAGCTATGAATGCCTCTACTGCTCATTGCCAGTGTTGCTGCTTCCCGACTCAGCCAAAAAGGCCAGGCCCCCCACTCTCCCAGTGCCCGGCACAGGCTGCTCTCTCTAAAACTGTCAAGCCCACTCCTCACACCCAGTTAACTCACCCTCAACTCATGTTGTGTCTTATCTTCCATTACTGATCCAAATCTCTGGCTGGTAAATGTCCCTGCGTGAGCCCATGACCAACTACTGCTGGCTGGGAAGGGCACGGATGCACACACACAGTAGGCCCCCAATCATTACTGGAAAATGGTTAGGGTGACTCGAAAGGCAGCCAGGGCCTCTTGACTGTAAGTCGATCCCATTTTACCCTCATGGCCCGATGAATCCAGGGTTCATTCTCACACTGGACTCTGCTGCTACATTTGATAACGAATACAGCAAGACTGCATCCAGCTTCCACAGTCCCAGATGCCAGGCAGGGTGCACAGACAGATCACATCCAAGCGCCGCCGTCTCGGGGCTCAAGCAATCAGACAATCTCGGGGTTAAAATTACTGTTGTATCGACGCTAATGCTAACACAATGATCCGTGTTCAAGTAGCCCTGGCCTCAAAGCACTTTCTGGGCATTTTCCATCCATTGAAAGGATGATTTTTTTTAAACGGCAGAGCTGAGAAAGTTGGCGCAGGGGCAGGTGCAGAGGATCCAAGTCACCGGCAGGGGAATTTTGGCTTGCCCACCATCCATCCGTAGCCCTCACTGAGCACCGTTAACCGGACTGGAGGTTTGTACTGACTCCACCTCCCCGTTCTGCCTAGTCACTCCACGTCCCGGCCCCGACTCCTCACCACGGCCTGGCCTTGAGCCACGCCTCCTTCCCCCGCCACGCCCCTCATCCGCGACCTGGCCCCGCCTCCACGCTCAAGCTTCCTCCCCGCTCTCCAGCTCCACGCACGAGCCCCGCCCTGAGCCCCGCCTCCACCCTAGCCCCGCCTCCACGCTCAGGCTCCCTCCCCGCTCTCTAGCTCCACGCCTGGGCCCCGCCCTGAGCCCCGCCTCCACCCTGGCCCCGCCTCCACGCTCAGGCTTCCTCCCCGCTCTCTAGATCCATGCCCGAGCCCCGCCCTGAGCCCCGCCTCCACCCTGGCCCCGCCTCCACGCTCAGGCTCCCTCCCTGCTCTCTAGCTCCACGCCCGGGCCCCGCCCTGAGCCCCGCCTCCACACCCCGGCCCCGCTTCCCAGACTCGCGCCGGGTCTCCAGGCCCAGGCCGAAGCCCCTCCTCCATATCCCAGCCCGAGCCCCCACGCTCCCGTCGCCGACCCTCCTGCGGGGGGCGGAGTTGCAGGTGCGGGCCGGGGCGTGGCCGGCGTCTCGGGGCGCCAGGTGCGCCTTCTGTGTCAAGATGGCCGCCGCCTCTAGCGCGGCGGCTCGACTCCAGCGGGGCCGCCGCCGTCTCCCGGCCGGGTCTCCGCTGCTGGGCGTCGCCCTCGGCCTCCTGTGCTGGGCCCCGGCGGCTGTGGGCGCCGTTCCCGAGCTCGGGCTCTGGACAGAGACGGTCACCAACGTAAGTGTAGTGCGGGGGCCGAGGCGTGGCGCGGATCAGGCCCTCGCGGCTGGCGCGCTCATGCGGGCTTGCGCCGCGTCTGCTGACTCCTCGAGCCTCCTCTCGTGGCGCGCGGTGGGCGAGCAGCGCGGCTCCTCCGGCTCGACCCCGGCTGCGGGAGGAGCAGTCGGGCTGTGCAGGGCTTGCCCCGCCCTCAGCTGCCGCCGGTGCTCGCGGGGCGAGGGGCTCGCCGTGCCGCAGCCCTGACCCCTCGCTCTGCGCTGTCGTGTCAGGACCTGGTCTGTTCAGACCTCAGCCCAGAGCCCCCGCGGAGCGCAGGCGGCATCTCTGGGCTTCGCCTGTCCTTGCTGCGGCCCCGGGGGCACTCAGCGGCGTGTCCTGTCGGCCTAGACTTAGAGGCGCGCGTGCAGCTTCCGTGTTCTTTCGTGACGTGCACGCCTCTCTCCCCCTGTGGCTGCCTGCCTTTCTCTAGGGCTCCTCTACCGGTTCCGAGAGCGAGCGAGCGACAGTGCTTGTGCGTGTGCGTGTGCGCGCGCGCGTGTGGGGAGACCGGGCCCGGATGGTGCTCCAGGAGCATGGGCGGCTGGAAACTTCTCCCCAGGGCGGGCCCTTAGAGCTCTTGGCATCCAGTAGTTAGAGGACTTGGTGTGGGAGGAACGCAAGGGTAGGATTATGGAAAAGTCTTGCAAAAGAGACAGGAAGTCGGGAAGTGGCATGATCTTCTCTCGAGGGTCAGATGACTCATCACGCTCTGTTTGTGATGAGTATTTTCCACAAGCGTTCAAAGGATGTCCAAATTCTAAATGTGAAATTTATATTTTTAATTTCCTCAACCGGAAAAAAAGTAAGCAGGACCGGAGACCACAAATACTTCTCACAACTCGGGCTACACGGAGGAACCCATGCAGGAACCCTTAGGAACCTTTTGGACACCGTGCTGCTGCTGTTTCTTCCAGCACTCCGCTGGGTTGGTGTCCTGTTTTGTGCCATAACCTGCACTCCTCCACCATCGGATTTCTCTAAATCGTGGAAAGCAAAACATGATGAGCCACACCTCCGGTCTCCAGCTGCTTCGGTAGTGAAGGGGCCGGATCGTAAACTAAGACTGGAAGATTCTAGAAGTGAATCAGCTGCATGCACACTGTTATTGTGCTTGAGGGTACCTGTAAAAGTCTTGGCCAAAGTATCTGTCACATGGTGACGGTCCAAAGGCCATGGAGGGAGAGAAGTTTGTCCCTTGAGGGCCACAGAGCCTTCTGTCACGCTAGCTTTATTCCTGTGGGACTCAGGCCAAGGGTATAAAGCTTGTCTTTCCCTAGAGCAGCCTGATCTATACCCCATGTCATTACCAGAATCTTGTCCCTCAGACCGTGGAGAGAGAGTTGACCGCTCTTTCGTTTGTGCTGCAGATCTAGCAAGAGTCGGCTCTTGGGATGGTACAGTTCGGCCAGGAGTTTGAGCACCGCTGTGTGCCACGTGTGCCATGTGCAAGGCTGGTCACTGTTGCGGCTGTTGCCGAGATGAGTTTTAGACACAGCTGCGCTTCCCCAGAAACACACAGTGCTAGGGACAGGGGGTTCTTGAATGGGTAATTACAGTACGGGGCAGCCAGGGTGTGGCCCTGACCCAGCTTTCTGGAGGACCGCCCTGGCTGGGTGTTCCCTTGGCGAGGGAAAGGAGGACAGCGGAACAGCAGCTGTGGGGGCAAGTCTTGGGGTTTCTGCTGAGTGAGGTTCTGGCTAGAGGGGTCTCAGGTCACCAGAAGCCTTGCCTGCTAGAACTTGGCCGTGAGCCTGAGGCTGTGGATCGCCAACTCAGAGACCTAGGGACCAAGGCACCTGGTGGGTGGGCGGAGCGAGGCAGGGTCAGGACTCTTAAGGGGCAGCAGGGCGCACGGTGGGCTGCAGAGTGCAGCTGTGGGCGTGGCGCTCGGTTGGGCACTCCCTGGCAGGACAGGCACAGAATTGCCGGGCCTCCTTTTTAGACGGAGCTGGAAATCAGGTTCTTCCGTCAACTGCGGCCTTTGTCAGGTGTTTGATCTTAGTTGTACCGGCTGTGAAGCAGAGTGGTGCTAGAGAGGTGGAATGCCTGGCCCGGTGTGGGTTGCCCTGGGAACATTTCTGAGAAGGGGCTTTGGAGCTGGGAGTCAAGTAGTTGAAGAAACAGTGAGAGAGAAAGGTGGTTAAAGTGAGTTTTCAGGCTGACAGGAGGGCCTCCTGGGACAGGAAGAGGCTCATGCTTTTCAGGAACTGAAACACAAACACGGTTGCCAGAGGCATAACCCCTGCCCCATGAGTAACAGTTGGGAAGGGAGATAGTTGTTCATCAAAAGTACTTTCAAGGCAGACGTTTGGCCCACCAGATGTCTTTGACAGTCTATTTTAGTGTCTGGGTTTGATTCCTGGCTGCAGTTTACTGCTAATGTTCACCCTGGGATGCACAGGTAACTGGGTTTCAGGCACCCATGTGGGAGACCTGGGTTGCATTCCCAGCTCCTGGCTTTAGCGCTCTCTCACTCTCACTGTCGCTCTCTTTTGCTCTCTCTCGGGACAGTTGTGTCCCATGTGGTAGTTCCTGGTTTGAATCCTGACTGTTCCATTTCCCGTCCACTTTCTTGCTAGTGCGCATCCTGGGGGGCAGCAGATGGTGTCTCAAGTGCTTGGGTCTCTCTTCACCACACGGGAGACCTGGACTGAGTTCATGTTCTTGGCTTCAGCCTGGCCCAGCCCTGGCTGTTGTAGGCATTCAGGGAGTGAACCAGTGGATGAAAGATCTCTGTCCCTCTCTCCTTCTGCTTTCAATTTAAAAATGATGATAAAATTTTAAAATAACACATTCACATTCATGTAAGAGAGTAGTACAGAGTTGTATCATGTTTGAGATCACTCGAGGCAGGGGTACTCCTGGGAGTAGACATGTAGGACAAGATTGAAGCAAGTGTGTGGTCTAACCAGGTTTGTATGTTTTAAAAGTTCTCTGGTCAGAGGGAGACTTGCAAGGAATAGAACACTGCTTTCTGTAGAGTGAAACAATCTTTTTTTTTTTTTTTTTTTTTTTTTTGGACAGGCAGAGTGGACAGTGAGAGAGAGAGACAGAGAGAAAGGTCTTCCTTTTGCCGTTGGTTCACCCCTCAATGGCCACCGCGGCCGGCGCGCTGCAGCCTGGGCATTGCGCTGATCTGAAGGCAGGAGCCAGGTGCTTCTCCTGGTCTCCCATGCGGGTGCAGGGCCCAAGCACTTGGGCCATCCTCCACTGCACTCCCGGGCCACAACAGAGAGCTGGACTAGAAGTGGAGCAACCGGGACAGAATCCGGCGCCCCGACCAGGACTAGAACCCAGTGTGCCAGCACCGCAAGGCGGAGGATTAACCTATTGAGCCACGGCGCCGGCCGAAACAATCATTTTTTTAAAAGATTTATTTATTTATTTGAAAGGCAGAGTTAGAGGGAGAGACAGAAAAATCTTCCATCTGCTGGTTCACTCTCCAAATGGCCACAATGGCCAGAGCTGGGCCAGTCCAAAGCTGGGAGCCAGGAGCTTCTGGGTCTCCCATGTGGGTGCAGGGCCCAAGCACTGGAGCCATCTTCTGCCACTTTCCCGGGCGCATTAACAGGGAGCTGGATAGGAGGTAGAACAGCCGGGACTCAAACCGGTACCCATATGGGATGCTGGCATTGCAGGCGGCAGCTTTACTCATTGTGCCACAACACCAGTCCCTAAAACCTTTCTGAAACAGTAGAGAAAACAAGATCATTTTTAACAAGATCATTCTATATTTGTTTTTCATTTTAGAAATCAGGACCTTTGGTATTTAGAAAAACTATGTTTAACTCTACTGAGATCAAGTTTTCTGGTAAGTATAATCAATACAAATATAAATAGCATGTAATATAAATGAATATGTTAATGTCAACTACTGTAACATTATCATAGTTGACTAAATAAATGTAATATTTCTTTCCTGTATTTTAAGGTTTTCTTTTATTCCAGTTAAGGTTTGTTATTTTCAAGAATCGATTTATCTGATTCTCTTCCATAAAATGTAATGTGAATCATTCTTTAAACATTAAAGTCTAATAAAGTAGGCTTTTAAAAGCAAGAAAGGATTTGGTTTCTGTGGAATTTGCGTTGGAGTCCTAGATTTTAAAACCAGATAAATTCCTTTTATGAATATATGAAATGTCATAATTGTGATAAATCCTTTATGCCCCTTGAAAATTATGCATTTAATGTACATGCTAGCATGCTAGGAAATAAAAGTTGCCAGACATTAATCTGTGTTAGGGCTTAGGAGAGTGTAGGTATTTGTTAGGTGGATGCGGTCTTTTCTTTGCAAATACTTAGGGACCGAGACTACCAAGGTTTTACAGAATTTTTAACGGGTTTGCGTTAGATCGTGTTTGCTGCGACCGAGTCGTTTTAGCTGTTCCCAGTCCTGCGACGAGGAAAGTTGGTGAGCAGAGTTAGAGGCTCAGGCTAAGGAGCAGTGTTCATTATGCTGAGCCGACTGGCTTCCCTAGGATCCCAAGCCGTGTTGTTTTTCTCTGAGTGTCTGTGGGGTGATTCTGCCATTTGAGGGTCTTTGCTGAGGGCAGTTGGGCTGGCTCTCGGCTGGAAAGCAGAGGCGGTGTCCGGCAGCTCTGATTTCTTAGATGAGCAGTGTCGATAGGAGCACTGTGAGAGGAACTCGAGGTCCGAGGGAGGCGAGGGAAGAGTGTTGGCATCCCTTTGCTTTAATGAATTCATGTCTCAAAGTCTAGACAAACAGGCTTTAAAAGAACCTCAGACTGGTGCTCACAAATAACATGGTGGGGGGTGGGTGTGAGCCACTGAATCCCACAATTTGATTTTAAAACATCCTCCCGTAACGCCTACAGCTACAGTAACAGTACACTGTCGTCAGGGCAGTAATAGCATGTCTGAAGAATGGGGAGAGCGCCAGGATTCAGTAGCAAATACATAACGTAGCAGGTGGAAGCTCGCATTCTCCAGCAGCGGGGTTGGGGGAGACGGCTTCGTGGACCCTGGCTGCGTTGTGATGCGTGGCTGGCAGGTGTGGCTGCTGCATCTGCTTGCCTCCTCGTTCTGCTGCCATGCTCATCCGGCAGCCTTGTCACCGCTGCGGGGCTACAGGAGAGCGTGCGGGAGGGAGGCAGTTAGCTGATCATTATGCATCCACTTTCCAGGTTCTGTGTGTTCCAAGGGAGTTACTGGGCATTCTGGTTTATACGCCTGTCTTGGTATTGAAGGATGGTGTGAGGCTGAGGGCCTGTGTTCTCACAGGACCAAATTTTAGTGTCTGCAGAGCTAAGCACTGTCCGTTGGATATGTGTCCATGCAGTACATCTGTCTTTCCCTTAGGGGCCCCTCTTCCGCAGCCCAATTCAGGGTTCCATCATGTTGAATCAGTGTTGAAAATCTCATAATGAAGTTTTCTGTATTAGCAGAATAGAGGAAATACACCATGGAGCCATCTGAATACATACAGAAAAAGTGCTTTAAAAAATTAAACACTTATCCATGATTTAAAAAAAAAAAAAAACTCTGAGAAAACTAGAAGTAAAAGGAGACTTCTTCAACATGGTGAAGGACATCTACGAAAAATCTAATAGCTAACATCACCCTGTTAGTTCTCCCCAGACTGATGGATTCAGTTTCATCGTAATCCAAATCTAAGCAGGCATTTATATGAGAGACGTGGAGACAGAGAACTCTCACCTGCTGGTTCACTGCCCAGATGGCCACCACGGGCTGGGCAGGGGCCAGGACTGGAACTGGGAATCAGAACCACAATCCAGGTCTCCCACATGGCTGGCAGGAACCCGGTGAGGTGAGCCATCAGCACTGCCTCCTAGGGTCTGCATTGGCAGGAAGCTGGAGTCAAGGGCCAGAGCCAGGAATCAAATCCAGGTGTCCTGGTGAGACATGGACTTCTTAACTGCCAGGCTGCACGCCTGCTCCCACCAAAACAATTGTGAAAAAGAGCAAGGTTGAAGGGCTTTTGCTGTCTCATTTCAAAGCTATAACGGTCTTAGTAGTGTGGTTCTGGCATAGGGACAGACATAGAGAACATGAATGAGTGGAAAGGTCAGAAACAAACCCATGCATAGAAGGTCGATTGATTTTCAACAAATGGGCCAAGAGAATTCATTACAGAAAGCATGGTCTGTTTTAACAACTGGATATCTGTGTGGAAAAAATAAATCTCAACTGTTAGCTTTGCTCATGGACTTAGACACTGTATCCCCACCTCTCTGTCCTTCGCTTTTGGGGCTACATTTACACATATGTTAGACCATTTGCTGTTGCCCACAGGTCACTAAGACCCTTTTAAATGTTTTCAGTCTCTTCATTTTTGTGTTTCATTTTGGATACAGTCATGTGTCATTTAACAATGGAAATCTGTTCTAAGACATGACTTTTTGGGTGATTCTGTCACTGTGCGAACATCGTGGAGTGTACTTACACACACTAAGAGGGCAGTGGTGTCACTATACACAGTATACTCTTATGTCGCCGCTCTCATATGCCATCCATCTGTGGTTGAAGCATCAGTGACTGAAATGTTGTTTGGCACATGTCAGTGTTTACATTACTTTGTCATTAAATTCACTGTTCTGTAAGACTTAGTCTGCTGTTAGTCTCATACAGTGATCTTTTTATTTTGGGTCTTATTTTAAAGATTTATTTATTTATTTATTTATTCATTTGAAAGGCAGAGTGATAGAAAGAGGAGAGACAGAGAGAGATCTTCCATCAGCTGAATTCACTCCCCAAATGGCCTCAACAACCAAGTCTGGGCCAGGCTGAAGCCAGGAGCCAGGAATTTCCTCCTGGTCTGCCACGTGGATGGCAGAGGCCCAAGCACTTGGGCCATTTTTCACTGCCTTCCCTGGTACATTAGCAAGAAGCTGGATCAGAAGAGGAGCAGCTGGGCATTGAACAGCACTCCAGTATGGGATGTGGGCACTGCAGGTGGCAGCTTAACCTGTGCCACAGCGCCAGCTCCTGTACTTTTTTTTTAACTGTAGGAAATTGACTTCTTTTTATATCACTTCTCTCAGTATTTTCATATTTTCCTTTATTAAGTATATGGAACATGTTCTCTAATTTTATATTCTTGTCTGCTGATTCTGTCATCTTTGACATGTTGACTGCTTGTCAAATTCTTCTGTTTTGTATACCTAGCCTTTTTATTTGGATGGTGGATGTTAAGAATTTTGCATTCTTGAGTGCTAGTCATGCCGTATTCCTTAAAGGCAACTTTGTTTTAGCAGACAGTTTCTGTGTGCCAGTTTGATCCCTTGCAGTTTCAGTTTTTTTTTTTTATTTTTTTATTTATTTTTTTTTTTTTTGACAGGCAGAGTGGATAGTGAGAGAGAGAGACAGAGAGAAAGGTCTTCCTTTTTTGCCGTTGGTTCACCCTCCAATGGCCGCCGAGGCCGGCGCGCTGCGGCCGGCGCACCGCGCTGATCCGATGGCAGGAGCCAGGAGCCAGGTGCTTTTTTCCTGGTCTCCCGTGGGGTGCAGGGCCCAAGCACCTGGGCCATCCTCCACTGCACTCCCTGGCCACAGCAGAGGGCTGGCCTGGAAGAGGGGCAACCGGGACAGAATCCGGCGCCCCGACCGGGACTAGAACCCGGTGTGCCGGCGCCGCTAGGCGGAGGATTAGCCTAGTGAGCCGCGGCGCCGGCCGGCAGTTTCAGTTTTTAAGTTCTTTTAGGATGAATCAGGAGTAGCCTTTACTCCATAGCTAACCTAGCCCCATTTCTAATATGGTTTTCCTACATCTCTCCTGAGTGCTTGGTGTATTTAATGAGGTCTCTCCACTTGGCAAGTGGAAATGCAGTTTCCAGCTCTGTGGGCGTGGGCAGTTGTTGGGCTTCTTAGGCACCGGTAGGTTTCCCTTTAGCCCAAGATGCAAGGAGGTTGCTAGGCAGATTTCTCTTACTCATCCTCTGTGTAGTTTCCGTCTCTTGGGTACTCTGCCCCAGAAATTCTACCAGCCTTCACCTCTTGACCTTCTGTCTCTGGGCTCAGTTTGGGCCCCCTCTGTGTGGTTACCAGCCATTAAAATAACTCCCAATGAACTCTGCCTCCCAGTATGTTCAGCACTTGGAGTCTGAGTGACCAGTGGGCTGTGGCATGTCGCTCCTGAAGCTGGGTTCTTCTTTGCTGTTTCTCTGACTGTCTGCTCTGGGGGAAGCTAGCTGCCATGTTGCCTGGACTTTTCCAGTAGAGTTTTCTCTTAACTCTAGAGTTAACCCTTTCCAGTCTGTCTCAGCATGTCATCTTCCCAACCTGGGACATTTGTGGTGCTTCATGGCATTGCAAGTAAAAGTCCAGCTCCTTAGCAGGGCTTAAGACTGTTTTTGGATTTCCTCCAGCACTCTTCTCCAGCTTCGGCGCTTCCCCACTTCCCGAGTGTGTGTCCGAACCATAGTGGGGCTTTCCGGTGGTCATGCCCATGTCCTGCTCTCACTCCCCTGGACATTTGCATACCATCCACCCTCCTTACCTTACCTTCAAGTTGTGGGCCTCCTCCTCCAGCAAGCCTGCCTGTACCCGCTTCTGCAGGTGTCCTAGACTATGGTTGGTGCCTACCCAGTGCTTCCTAGACATGCTGTTGTCAGCCTTATTGAAAGGGCCTGTTCAATGTTAACCCTTCTTAGTACCTTTTAGGTCATGGTTTAGAGTTGTTACCCTAATGTCCTTTCCTGGAACTCAGCAGGGGCCTCGTTTAGTATATTTTGAATGAATAAGTGAGAAGAACGTTTGAAAGTGAGCCAAACAGTGACTTAGCATATCAGTCTACTTGATTGATTCTAACTTTGGACTCCTTGATTAAATGAACTGTATTACAGTAACTTTTGGTTAATTATAATAATTAAAAATTTAAGAAATTTATCTGTCTCATTTTGCAGTGATGTTTTGGAGAAATTAGGTAGTATCCTACTTATTGTTACATTGAAGTAGCTTATTTTAATTTGCATATCAGAGCTAAGTTTATGTCACTGTGTGTGTATATATATATATTATTAATATAATATATAAATAAGATTTTCTTTTTCTCAACAGTTAAGTCATTCAGTTGTTCCGGGCCTGTGAAGTTTACCATAGAGTGGCATTTGAAGTATCATACCTGTCACAATGAATACTCTGAGCTGGAAGTAAGTAAAGGAGAAGTCCTCAATGAATGTAAAGCTATGAAGGAAAACTTAGGAGTGTAAAGATTTTTATTAACTCATCAGGTGAGGAGGCTAGAAAGAGAGATTGTAGGTTTAGAAACACCACAGATAATATTGAGATTTAAGGCAATAAATCAAAGTATGTTCTGGAAGACCACAAGCTTGTAGTTTCCCTGGGAGTAACTTATGAAAAATGTAAGTAAAATTTAAATCAGACATGTAGGAGCCATCATCAATAACCAGACTATGGATCGCACACAAATAAAAAGCTTCATTTGAGAAGGAACTGTGAAAGTTTCACTTTATTCAAGAAAATTAGTTCCTGGGAACCTGGGACAGCAGTGAGTACAAGCAGGTCTCGGGAGAGGAGAAGGGAGACAGCTGGGGAAGGCAGAGAGAAGAGGACAGAGGCGTCTGGGAGGGGCTGCTCCTGCCCTGGCTTGGAGCACGGGCTCCGTGGCTCTCAGCCGCGTGTTTCTTCGAGGATTCCAGCGGCGGGTGCTTGGGATTACATCCTTTTCAGCTTCTCTGGATCTGCTTGACTTCCAGTTTGGATAAGATGTGGGTTTCCATATTTTTATTAGTATTATCTTCCCATTTGGAGTGGAAGATGGCGTTCTCCTTGTATGTTGCCCTTTCGGCTTTGTCCCTGGCCATTTGACCCTTTCACACTGAATGAGTGCATGTTTCCTGAGAACAGGGGTGCTTGCTTAGATGAGCCTGGTCGCTGCATTCAGGAAATTTAACATTGGTGCGTGTGTTAGTCAGCTTTTTATCACTGTAACACGTATCTGGGAGAAGCTGCCTTTGAAGGAAAAAGGCCTTGTTTTGGTTCACAGATTTACAGCCCACAATTGGCATCTGATGAGGACAGTGGACAGTGAAACACGTGCAGAGAAAGGCTCGTGTGATGAGTCAGGAAGCAGAGAGAGCAGCTGGGCCCCACTCAGCTGCTGCACCCAGCTGTCTCAGGACACATCCCAGGGACCTAGGAACTCCCACTAGGCCCACCTCGTAGGCACCACATCAGATCTCTCTACCCTTAGTCCATTAAGCCTCAAGCTTTCAATTCTGGGAATATTTCAGTGACATTTATTTTGACATTACCGTAAGTGGTATGTCTATTGCACAATTAATTTGAAAGAGTGATGGCAAGAGAGAGAAAGATCTTCCATCCATCCACTGTTTCACTGCCCAGATGGCCACAACAGCGAGGACTGAGCTGGCCAGAGCCAGAAGCTTCATCCAAGTCTCTATGGGTGCAGGAGCCCAGACACTTGGGCCATCTTCTGCTGCTTTTCTCACACCTTTAACAGGAAGCTGGATTGGAAGTGGAGCAGCCAGGACACCAATCAGTGCCCATGTGGGATGCCGGCATCACAGGTGGTGGCTTTACCTGCTGTACCACAATACCAACCCACCTAAAGTTTTTATAATGGGTTAAACATTAACAATAATCCACTAACCATTAACCTAAGACTTTGGGGACCAAGACTTTAACATGTGGGCCTTTGGACGACACTCAAACTAATATCCAATACAGACATTACTGAAATTTCACCAGTATCACAATAATGTCTTTGGTAACAGGTTTTTTCCTGGTACAGCAGAATCCAATCCAAGAGCATGTATATTCCCTTTGTTTTTGTTTTTAGTTGCTGAAATCTGGAGCAATTTTTTTTTCCTTTTGGCTCTTTTATGATATTGATATTTTTGTAAAAAGTCCCTTAGTTTGAGTATTTCTGATGTTTCCTCATGATCACATAAAGGTTGTATATTTTTTACCAGAAAACCACAGATACTGTTTTTTTCCCCATTTTTGATAATATTAATTTGATCAGTTAAGGAGGTAACTGGATTTGTCCACTGTAAAGTCACTACTTCCAATTTGTGAGGAAATAACTTTTTTTTTTTTTTTTTTTTGACAGGCAGAGTGGACAGTGAGAGACAGAGAGAAAGGTCTTCCTTTGCCGTTGGTTCACCCTCCAATGGCCTTACCGCGCTGATCTGATGGCAGGAGCCAGGTGCTTCTCCTGGTCTCCCATGGGGTGCAGGGCCCAAGCACTTGGGCCATCCTCCACTGCATTCCCGGGCCACAACAGAGAGCTGGCCTGGAAGAGGGGCAACCGGGACAGAATCCAGTGCCCTGACCGGGACTAGAACCCGGTGTGCCGGTTCCGCTAGGTGGAGGATTAGCCTAGTGAGCCGCGGTGCCGGCCGGAAATAACTTTGGAAGCTATTAAGTACTGTGTTTTCATCAGACGTTCAGCTGCCTGCTTTAGCATCCTGTCAGGATTCTTGCCTGAGGAATCTGTTATTACTAGGAAGATTGGCAAATGGTGATTTTTCTAATTCCATATTCTCTTCTTTTATTTTTTTTTTTAAGAAGTGACTTGGGGATATTTAGAGTTAGAAATTTTTTTTTTTTTTAAGATTTTTTATTTGAAAGAGTTACATACACAGAGAGAGAGGGAGAGAGAGGTCTTCCATCAGCTGGTTCACTCCCCAGATGGCCGCAATGGCCAGAGCTGCGCCAATCCAAAGTCAGGAGCCAGGAGCTTCTTCTGAGTCTCCCACGTGGGTTCAGGAGCCCAAGGACTCGGGCCATCTTCTACTGCTTTCCCAGGCCATAGCAGAAAGCCGAATGGGAAGTGGAGCAGCCAGGTCTCGAACTGGCATCCATGTGGCATGCCGGCACTTCAAGCCAGGGGGTTAACCAGCTGCGCCACAGTGCCGGCATCCCATATTCTCTTCTACATTTATTAACATTCTGCTCTGTGGATGAACTCTCCCTTTTCCTTTGTCTTATCTATCAATCAATGAATCATCAGTTTGGATATACTGATTTTTACTTTGTTATATAAGTTGTAATCTCACTGCTTTTATTTCTTTTGTTCAAATTGTCCTATGTGTGATCGCACATAACTTTTCTTGCTGATGGGGAGCTGCTGTTAAGAGCTTGGCTTATTCATCCATTCTAGCCTGCAAGGAACCTCAGACTGATGCTGGATAAGTGAGCGCTCCCTGTCTCAGCTCACTGGCTGCCTTGCTTTGTGCTACTGTTTGGTGTATCTTTTTCTTTGTCCTTGAGTGCTGCTTGCTTTCCTGGTAAAATCTCTTGCACATGAGATAAAATAGAAGTAGCCCCAAGGCAAAGTGTGTTCCATTTCTCTGGGAACTATTTCCTTGTGGTGGTATCTTAAGCCCTTTTTTTTTTTTATGTAAGATTATGTTTGTTTTATGTATTACTGTAAACACATTGGGATAGTTAAAATGATAAGATTATGTCTGTTATACTTAACATAAAATTCAAAACTTGTTCTCCTTGGTATTTATTGTATGTATCTTCACATATTCCAAGCTTGAGTAAACTTTTGACATTATTTTAAATATTAAGTTTATTTTTTTTTCTAGGATAAGGAGTGTGGGAATAAATTATAACATAGAGTTTTATCTTGGGTAGGAGCTGGCCCGGAAGCATGAACTCCGTGCCGATGAAGACTTTTGTGGTGTGTATTTCAAGAACGTTGACTGTTGGACAACAAAAAATGAAAACTTAGATTGCAATAGTGATTTACAGGTGTTCCCTTCATTGAATGTGAGTACCCCTCCCTCCATGTTAAAATAGAGTTTCTTTTATTCTCAGTGGATATAAGTATTGCCTAGTGTTCTGTCAGAGTTCTGATTGAGAGAGGTGTGCAGTGTGCCCATTTTAGCTTTGCCGTGTGTGTGTGTGTGTGTGTGTGTGATGGTGCATGATAGAAGCACTCTATATCTTTGCACTTCTTCGTAGCAACATCCCTGTGAGAGTCTCTTGTGATCCACTGTCTCCAATTTATTTCTCGTTCTTTCTTCTCTCCAGCGCTCTCAGACCTTTGCCCCCAGCATCCCATCAGAATAATTCTTGTCTAGGTCCCTAGTGACCTCCGTGTTGTAAAGTTTGGTGATGTGATTCTTCCCAAAGGTCTTTTCCTGCCAGCATTCACTCCCTTGAACCCACTGCTTCTTCTTGCCTCACCTCTTCCCTCTCCCAGCTGGGAGGTCACATCCTGCAGTGCTAACAGCACTCATCCCGAGTACTGCGGTTGGGATCATGTTAACCTGATTTTTAATCTTTAAATTCTGAAATGAAAAGATATGTCTTAGTAAAGAATTTCAAGTTCTTTTAAAAATTTAAGTTAAAGTGAAATAAACATAGAGAAAAGTACCGGTAAATGTTCACCTTGAATTTTCATGCACGGAACATTTTGGTACCTGGAAGCCCCTTTTAGTTTCTAACATTCTCCCCGTGAATGGTGACCACTGTCCAACAGTGACCACACTATTAAGGAAATTATTTTTACGAAGCAGAATTTTGTTACTCATGTTTAGGATACTGAGGTTTGTCGGCAGAATGCTCACTTTTACATCTTTATTTTCTTCCTAATGCATTTTTCTTGTTAGAACTACTTTTTTTTTCATAGAAATGCAGCAGTATAAAATGGAATTATTTTACTCTTTTTTTCTTTCCAGAATAAAGAACTAACAACAAATGTCAGAAATGTTTCCAACCAGGAAGGATCCATGGTAAGCCGTTTTGCTTATGTTTAAATCAAATATACACCAATTATAGTATGATTGAAAAAAACGTTGGGGCTGGTGTTGTAGTACAGTGGGTTAAGTCAGTGCATCCCATAATGGAGTGCTGGTTCAGGTTCTGGCTGCTCTGCTTCCAGTCCAGCTATGGACTGCTATGATCCAAAGCCAGAAGCCAGGAGACTTTTCCAGGTCTCCCATGCTGGTGCAGGGGCTCAAGGACTTGGGCCAACTTCCACTGCTTTAACAGGCCACATCAGGGAGCTGGATGAGAAGTGGAACAGCTGGGACTCGAACCAGCACCCACATGGGATGCTGGCACTCTAAGCCAGGGCTTTAACCCACTGTGCCGCAGCGCTGGCCCCTATAAGTTGTAATTTAAGATCAGCTTCTGTACGGTTTTCCATTTCTGACTAAGCAAGGTAGCGTAGTAGTCAGCTGTTGTCACTGCAGATATAAAGACATGGGTAGAGATCATGAACGCAGCACTGGCGGAGGGAAGTGTTGGTGTCTGGGGCGTTACTAGGAGACTGGAAGCAGTCTTAGGAGAGCTTCATGGCTGCTTTCACACTGTGACTTCACGTCTCCTCCCCAAACATTTTAAAGAGAGCCCTGCTAATGGAAAGGCGTTCACTGTGCAGTGGCCAGGACTGAAGCTGTCCCAGATCGCAGGAGTGAGAAATGGAAGGAAGGGGTAGGAAGTACTCAGGAAGGTAAACTGAAACATTCAGTCCAGTTATGTGGGGGTGGTGGAGGAGTCACTGGTGTTCTCGCAGGCAGTTGGATTCCTCGGTAGGGCTTAAGTAGTAGTATCTCCAGGGCTTTGAATCATTGAGCCTATATACAGTCAGCCCCTGTATGAGTGGGTCCTGTGCCTGTGAATTCAGCCAACCTGGGATTGAAAATATTCTGGAAAAAAAAAATCTGTGCTAAACACCTGTAGACATTTTTCTTTTCGTTCTTGCCTAAACAATACTGTGTAATTACTGTTTCTGTGACATGTGCATGAGATTAAGTATCACACGTGATGCAGGAGGACTGAGAGTGCACAGGAAGATGCGCAGAGGTGTTTGAGGTGCTGCGCCTTTCTGCACAGGGAACTTGAGTGTCTGCAGCTTGTGCCCTCCACAGGACGGGGCATCTAGGCTGCACTGAACCTGACATTTCTGACAGTGCTGTCTGACTGCTTCCTCCTCCAGTTCAATTATTTTAAATGCTCATTTCATTAAAACCAAGTGCCTGATAATATTAAGGTAAAATAGGAAAAGAATAACTATTTGCTATTTCAAAGGCTGATTGTCTGGCTTAATTGGTTTATGCTGTGTCTATGTGTTGAAGAGTCATACCGTCTCCACAAAAATGTATTACATGTCAATCAAGCTTTTTAAATAAAAATTTCTGGACACTTGGCCTAATGGCTTAAGTCACTGCTTGGGATGCCCACATTCCACATTGGGGTGGCTGGTTCGAGTACCAGCTGTTCTGCTTCTGAGCCAGCATCCTGCTCCATGGCTCAAGTGCTTGGATCCCTGCCACCCACATGGAAGACCTGGATGGAGTTCTCCACGCTTGTCCTTGGCCTGGTCCAGCCCTGGCTGTTAAGGGCATTTGGGGAGTGAATCAGCAGATAGAAAATCTCTTCCTCTCTTTGCCTTTCAAATAGAATGAAAATAAATAATTTTTTAAAAATATTTAAATGATAATATCAAATAAAGCAAAATGGTAATGTCAGGGAGAACTTAAAGGAATAGAAAAGGTAAGAAACACTGGAGAGTGAAAGGGGCTCTCCCGCTTGGGGTCTGAGGATGGAGGTGAACATGGGGCCGTGCCTCTCCTTCCTCCACCTTCCGTTCCTTTGCTCAGTCCTGTTTGTGTTTTTAAAAAATCAACCCAATTCAGTGACCAAAATTTAAGTGTGGTAGACAGTTGTGAATTGCTTCTCATAAAGCAATTCGTTAAGAATAGTAAAAGATTTTTTTCTCTGTTTCAGGATGTTGTAGCCAGAACACAGAGAGATGGGTTTCATATCTTTATTGTATCTATTAAAACAGAAAAAACAGATGCAAACTGGAATTTGAATGGTAAAGTTGCATGCGTGTTTACTCTCTACAGTTTCTCTAGTCTGCATTTTCATCATTGACCTGAGTGTGCATTCTCTGTTAAAGACTCATCATTCTTTATGCTTGTCTTAATGCTGATATTGTTTTTCTAATGGATTGAAAATTTCACGCTGTTGAACTTTAAAAATTAACTTTTTAGTTGACAAGTAATTATGTGTATTTAAGATAAATTTTGAAGTTCATAGTGGGATATAAAATTCTTCATCCCTTCAGATTAAGAAACTTTTTTTTTACATGTAGAAATGAGTAGGCGACATTGTAATTTTATTTAAAGTAGCTTATATTCTCCATTTCTTATAAATGGCCAACATTGGGGGTTTTAGAATTTCTGTTACTTACAAAGTTTATTTTAAAGGACCTGGCGCCCAGGGGTATAGAAGTAGCACTCTGCCAGCTGTGGCTTCGATGGTCTGTGTGCTCTCCAGCCCCCACCAGAGCTGGAGCCTCTGCCCTGTGAGCTGTAGTTGTCTAGTGCTGGCAAGAAAGAGTAGGCTCATAGTAAGCCACTTTCGAGGGAATGAACACTTTCACGTGTCCCAGAGTTGCTTTGGCTGATGTTTTCCAGAGGGAGTGTTTGCTGGACCAGCTGTAGCCATAAAGCCCCAAATAAAAAGGCCAGGGAGTTCGCATGTTGCTCAGATTGACCCACTGGGACATAGAGGTGAAGTCAAGCTTGGCTTCTGAGTGCCCAGTCCAGTGGCCGGGTGGGGAGTGGAACCAAAAACCAGTGAGGAGATCCAGACAGTGCTGCAGAGGAGGCAGGGCCGCAGGGCCACAGGGCCCATGGAGGGGAGCAGGGGGAGGAGGCTGTTCTGTGAGAGTGTAGAGAGAGAGGGCTTTTCTCCTGGAGGCTGGTCGTGGGCCAGGCTGTGCTAAGTGGAGCGGGCAGAACCTTGATGCCAGTCTGCCACCTGGCTGTCTTAGTCCATCTGTGCTGCTGTCACAAAGTCCCTGACACTCAGGACCTGATAAAGAATAAGCTTTAGAGGCTGAGGAGTCCAAGTTCCAGGCGCCAGCAAGTTTGGTGTCTGGGAGGGCCCCAGTGTCTGCTTCCAGGATGGCACCTTGAACTGTGTTCTTACCTGGTGGAAGAGCAAACATAGGCTTAGGCCAGTGCCTTCCAGCCGCTCTTTTGAGTCACTAATCCATTCATAAAGGACTTCCCCCAAAAGCCCCACCCCTCAAGAGCAGCTCCATGGGGATTAAGTTTCATTGCGGGGCTTTTTGGGGACATTCAGACCATGTCGCACTAGCCCTCGCTCCTTTCTTTCCCAGGCTTGTGTCTCCCCTGACATCAGCAGGCCGGTTACTACCTGGAGCTGTCGCTGAGCCTGTGTGTCTTGTTCAGCACTTGGCCCTCTGTTCATTATTATCAGTCTAGATGCCTGAGTTAGAAATTCATCCCAAGTTACATGAAACAAGACCAGGGCTGCAGTGAAATTAGTGAATCAGCCAGAGGTCCAGTCTGAGGCTGTTTGGTAGCCGGTGATAGTGCACTTCCTGTAGAAGGTTTCATTTGGCACAGATTTTTATAATAGTGTGTACACAAGGAAAAGTATCCTGGTCAGATTACATAATCAGACAGTTGCTAACTAGCCAGAACCTTGTGTGTACTGAGTAAACTTCAGCATGTGTTAGTATGGCTGGTGTTCTTGGCATTCTCTGGGAAATGAGCTTACTCTTGAAGACTTAAGAAGACTGATCATTAACTCTTTGATTTCTTCTCCTCCATCCCTGCCGTCAACATCACCAGTCTCTCTTTCTATGATGGGACCACATGGGTATATCTCTGCGTCAGACTGGCCTCTGATGATTGTGAGTATTTTTCATCTTTTCTCCTTTTCTTAACACACGTCTTATAGTCTGCTTGGAAAATGTAAAACGTAGGAACTTGGTGGTGGTCATCCCTTGGTAGCAAATGCTCAGACATGTTCTCTGTATCTGGTCCCGGAGTGAGAAGTGAAGGGTCGGACACGTCAGTGTTGACATTCTGTGCCAGGTGATCTTCACTGACAAAAATTACCTCTCTCCCTGCAGTTTTACATGGTGATGTGCATTGTTTATATATTATATGGCGTGCTCTGGCTGATGTGGTCTGCCTGTTATTGGAAAGATATATTAAGGATCCAGTTCTGGATTGCAGCTGTTATTTTCCTGGGAATGCTAGAAAAAGCTGTTTTTTACACAGAATACCAGAACATCAACAGCACTGGCCTGTCAAGTGAGTTTGACTGTCTCCTTCCGTCTAATGTGATCTAATGTCTCCTAGCATTTGTGAGCAGAGCTGTGGCAGTCTGTCTGCCTGCCTTCGTGTGGTGGTTTGGAAAAAGCCCTGTTACAGATGAGGAGGGAAGACGAATGGAGAATGTCAGCGTGGGGCCCTCCTCTGGGCTAGCAGCGCGTGTTCTCTTTATTTCCTGTTTTCCTTTGTGTTGCCTTTCTCCTCACTTTCCTCCTTGGAAAAAGAAAATTCCCATCCCCTCAAGTTTAGCTTGGGTTAGAAGAACATCAGGTTCTGGGCAGGGCAGGACTTCAGGTGCTGCCAGTCCCTTTCACATTCCCCTCCCTCCCCAGTCTTCTTTTCCCTTGTCTCCCAGAAAGGAAGAGAGAGGCATCTTCCATAGGGAGTATAATGCGGGGGGTTGGCTGACGCCTGCAGCCTTCTTGCACCCACCTGCCCACTCTTTGAAGCGCTCTGCGTGGCCAGTGGATGCCCCACCATCACCGCTTCTACCGGGAGCAGTGTGAGCAGGCGGTGTGGAGGTGTGCCCGGGTTCTAGAAGGTAGACGGAAAAAAGGACAGGGAAGTCAAGTGTGATTTCCCCCACTGGGCCTCTGGCAGGGAGAGCTCCAAGGGTTGAGCATGCTCAAGAGAACTGTGGAGTGATCAGTTACAAATGATCTTAGTGCAGTTTCTAAAGGCAAGGTTACGCCTGCCATTTGTTTATTTTTGTTTTTCTGTCTTTATTTCAGAGTTGGAAAAACAGGGAGAGCTCCCATTTGCTGGTTCATTCCCCGAATGCCTGCTACAGCCAGGGTTGGGCTGAGCTGGGCTGGAGCTGGGAATCTGGAACTCAATCCGGGTCCCCCACATAGGTGGCAGGTGCTTAGTTACTTGAGCCATTACTGCTGCTTCCCAAGGTCTGCATCAGCAGGAAGCTGGTACCTGGAGCCAGACCCAAGAGTTGAACCCAGCTACACTCATCTGGGATACTAGCATCTTAAATGGCATCTTAACTGCTAGGCCAAATGCCTGCCCTATTCTGTTTATTTAAGGATATTCCAGAGGGGCTGGTGTTGTGGCATGGTTAAGCCACCACCTGCGATGCCAGTATCCCATACAAGCTCCTGTTCAAGTCTCAGCTGCTCCACTTCTGATCCAACTCCCTGCTTATGTATCCAGGGAACACAGCAGAGGACGGCCCAACTGCTTGTGTCCCTGCCACTCACATGGGAGACCTGGAGGAATCTCTTGGTTCCTGATGTTGGCCTGGCCTGACCATTGCAGCCATTTAGGGAGTGAATCAGTGGGCGGAAGAAATCTCTGTCTCTTCTCTCAGTCACTCTGCATTTCAAATAAATACATAAATTAAAAAAAAAAAAAAATTCCAGAAAAGAGAAGTGAGTTGGGGGGGAGGGGCATCCTATATTGGAGTGCTGATTTGAGCCCCAGCTACTCTGCTTCTGATCCAGCTCCCTGCCAGTGATCCTGGGAAAATGGTAGAAGATGGCCCGAGTGCCTGGCCCCATGTGGGAGACCCGGAAGGAGCTCCTGGTTCTGGCATGGCCCAGCCCTGACAGTTGTGGCCATTCGTGGAGTGAACCAGCTGATGGAAGATCTCTGACTCTCTGTTTCCCTCTCTCTCTGTCACTCTGCCTTTCGAATAAATAAATAAAGTCTTAATTAAAAAAAGAAAAAGAAAAATGAGTTGAAATTTACCACAAAACATCCCAAGGGAAGAAGATGGGAGGGAGGTTCAGGGAGACAGGCTCCAGCTGATAGAACGTAGTCGTGCTGCTGAGACACAGGGCGACGTCGGCAGGAGGTGGCAAGTTCCCTTCGGCCAGTGAGCCTGAGGTCATGTGGTTGTGGCCCGTGCATGTGAGAATCCTGCTTGGCAGCCTTTGGATCTGCACACAGTGAATTGTTTTTTTTTCCTCCCCTCAGCCCAAGGTTTATTGGTGTTTGCAGAGTTGATATCGGCAGTTAAGAGGACCTTGGCTCGCCTGCTCGTGATCATCGTGAGCCTGGGCTATGGCATTGTGAAGTGAGTATTGGTGTGTTGAAGATGCTGCGAGTCTGCAGCCCAGTGGTTCAGCCCCTCTGCGCTGTGAAAGTTTCCGTGTCATGCAGACCCCTCAGGGAAAAAATCGGCAAGCACGTGCTTTTATAGTTAGGTGAATAAGTCATCATCTTTAAGGAAATGGAAACATCTAAAATGGTTCTTGAAGGTCAAACTGTTTTCTGGACAGTACAGTTTAGCTTTTATAACTTACATGAGTGTTGTAAGAGAGTGGATTAAACAGCAGGTCAACCAGATCTGACCGGCACCTGTCTGTCCCCTGGGTGGGTCTTGTCTTCTCATCCCTGTGAGTCCCTGGGTGTGAACATGGGTGTGAACTTGTCCTCCTTGTTCTCAAGCCGTTGGCCTTTGTTCTTGGCTGAAACCTGGTGCTGCCCAGAAAGCTCCAGCCCTCCAGGCAGGATCTCCCGCTGCAGCTTGCTGTGGCGGGCGCCCGTTAGCTCCCGCAGCCCTCTGCGCCCCCGTTGGCACCCCGAGTGCTCCCCTCCCCGTCTCTGCCTGGCGCCCATCTGCCTGCTCCTGCTCGTGCCCTCCCCGCCTCAGCTGCTGACTCCTGAGTCGTCTTCCAGACCTAATCGTTCTGAAGGCAGTGTGTGTAAGTGCCTCTTCCTCATAATCCCACGTTTAAGCAGTCCATTTTTCAGCTGTCACTCCTGTTTCCTGTTTATTTTCTCTGTTACGTCTGCTTCAGCCATTTTAGACCTTAGTGTGGCCTCTGGCCTTTTAACTGCGTGCCTTGCGCTGTTCTCCCCAGCCTGTGTCCCTGGCAGGTGGGGCGCTGACACCTGAAGCCCCGCCTTTCTGTCTGTCAGCATTCTTGACGGAGTACAGCCTTGACAAACCTGCTTTGCCTCCGCTTCAGGCTCACCTCCGAGAAGGACCTTGGACCGCACTGCCTGGGATGAGGTGGCTTTCAGTCCGTGAGCCTGAACTCCCAGCATGCCCCCAGTGCCGCCCGCAGGTCTCCAGGATTCCCTCGCTGGTGTCTTTTCTTACTCTCACTCTCAGGAAAGACCACCTCCCCGGCCCAGCCCCCATTTCATGCTCTCGTCCCTCTCAGCCAGCCTCGACTCTTTCAGCACTGAGGAAGTAGATGCCATCAGAAGGGCATTCTGCATTGTCGCTGTCCCGTGTGGACCACGTGCAGAGCTCCCCTCCTCTGTCCGGCGCTCTCTGTCGAAGGGGCTGCTGCGGCGGTCACCAGCTGTCTGTCTGGTGGCTTCCTCCCCTTAGCGTGTGTCACCCCTCCCTGAGCTCTCCGCGGCGCTCCCCTCTGCTTCTGCCTCGTTTCTCTTCACCTCTGCCCTGTCACTCGCATCCCCTGTCCCTGCTCACTTGACTCATCCGGAGTGAACCCCTGCCTTCCTCCATGGCTGTCCCCCTGGGCAGGCCGTCTGCCCCTGCCTGGAGCGGGAGACTCCTGTAGTTTCCCCGCTTCTGCTCGTGTCAGTCCTTCTGCAAGACAGCAGTGGCCAAGAAGATCCTTTAGAAAAACAATAATAGTAAGAACCCAGATCTTGTTATTTCATTGCTCATTTTGCTTAGTAAAGCCCAAGTTCCCTTCTGTGGACGTTCCAGGGACATGCCCACTCTTTTCCACTGTCCCCTTCCAGGGAGGATAGCACCTTCAGGATTCCCAGCGTGGTACAGCCCCCACGCCCTGTCCCCTCCTCCTTTCTACAGTGCCACTTGGTGGTGTATTAGTGCTTACTGTCTGCCCTACCCCCACACACGCGGGTGAGAGCCCTGGGGAACAGCAGCTCTGCCTGCTGTGTGTCCCTGACCCTGAGGCCACAGTCCCCAGCATGTGCTAGGACTCAGGACACACGTGTTCAATGTGTGTTTATATAGTGAGAGCTCGGGGTTGTAGGATTTTAGCCAGGAAATCTTTTTCTTACAGGGCTTTTACTGCAGTTCCTTCTCAGATGCTTTTTGTAGCCCTAGTGCTGTGTACAGAGTGTGAGGCCCCTTGTTGAGTCCTGCAGTACCTCAGTTCTGGTTATGCACATCAGGCGCTCACCGACAGGCGCACTGTTGCTGCTGCAAAACAAGTAGGAGAGTGAGCTGAGGGGTGAGGGCAGAGCTTTGAATGAACCCCTTCACTGTTAGCTCGTTCTGTTCAGCTCTCGCAAAGTGAGAGCAGTGATTTGGGATTCTAGTTGGTTGTAGCGGATCAGAATTTAGATGAACTAGATCAGGTTCTCGTAAATATGAGCTATGGACATTAATTTTTTCTTAGTTTTTGTTTTAAAATGACTGTCTTAAATGTTTTTTTCAAAATTAGTTTTTTCTTCTGATTATTCAGTTTTTGAGTATCCTAAAATATATGTGCAGTAAATTCAGATTTCCAAGCGTCATGATTTTAGTTCTATTTTCAAATTATTAATTGCGAAAATCACCATCTTTGCATTTTTCCAACTCACCTATATTTTTAAAAGAATCCAAAGTGTTATGTTTCAATGTTAAGAATGAAAACTAAGGGCCAGCATTATGTGTAGCGGGTTAATCCATTGCCTGAGACACTGGCATCTCATATTGGTCTGATTTGAGACCCGGCTGCTCCATTTCCAGTCCAGCTCCCCGCTCATGTGCCTGGGAAAGCAACAGAAGATGGCCCAAGTTTTTGGGCCCTTGCATCCCTGTGGGAAACCCAGATGAAGCTTCTGGCTTTGGCCTGGCCCAGCTTTGGCCATTTCAGCCATTTTGGGAGTGAACTAACTGATGGAAGATCTCTCTGTGTGTCTCTCCCTCTCTCTGTGTAATTCTGCCTTTGAAATAATTTAAAAAAAAAATGAAAACTAAATTCTTCTAGCTCTCCATTGAGAAACAGTGATCAGGGGAGGTGATGGAGTTCCGTCTCCTGACATCCTGTTCTTTGTCTGCCCAAGTCGTAGGATCAGGGGATTGTCTCTATCAAAATGTGTCTCTGAATAATTTGTAATTAATGTTGGTGAAAGACTTAAATTATAGTCTCTGCCAGTGGCACTTACAAGTTGGCGCTTATCTTGCAAGGTTTCATTAGCCTGCTCTTCCACTTCTGGCACCCTTGTGGTTTCAGGATGTTCCTTGGCGGGCATCCTCAGAGTTCAGGTCCCAGACGGAGAGCCGCATTTCTTTGGGCCTCTGTTCCTGCTGGGTTCTCAGGAAAGCCACTGTTTTCCGTGATGCCCTGCTCAGAGCAGGCGCAGACTGATTGGATCAGATACTGAGTTCTCTGGTATTGGAAAAGGTGGCTGCTACGGTAGTCAGATGCCCTGTACTCACCAAGCCTTGTCCCCTGTCTCCTCTTTCTCATTCCAGGCCTCGCCTCGGAGCAGTCATGCACAGGGTGATTGGACTGGGACTTCTCTACTTCATCTTTGCAGCTATTGAAGGCGTGATGAGAGTCATAGGGGTAAAAATGACATAATCCCATTGCCGACCCTTTTTGTCGCTGTGAAATGTGATATCTGTGTAGCTCCTCGGGTGACTTTTTAGAGAAATTAATGAAAAGACCCAACTTGGGCTTCTTCCCTATGAGATGTTTTTCTTTTATAGCAGACCCTGAGAGATGAAAGCTCGACAGAGAACTTAAAATAATGCAGTTGTGAGGTTCCTCTGGATGTCATCCCAGGAATTAGTTCCATCCCAGAAACGTTCATGGTTATTCTTCATAAAGAACATTCGTCATTGTGTAGTCGCATCCATACCCTCAGGAGTCCTGGACTTGAAAATGTGACTCAGTAGAACAGAGTTAATCACACCCTTCAGACATAGACACATCACGTGTCTTTTAAGTTATTTCAAGTACTATAAATTTTCTCTTTCTAGAGCAATATCAGTATTTATGTTTGTGAGGACCCCTATCGTTCTAACTCCAGTTTTCTTAATAAGTGGTTGAGGACTCAGTATATCTTACCTGATGCATTTTTATCCAAGGGGTCTTTGGATTAGATACCTAGATCAGATCACTGTGTAATTGGGACGCACAGAGACAGACAGCAAGAGCTCCCATCCCATGGCGCACTCCCTGAATGCCTGCAGTGGTTGGAGGTGGGGGAGGGCTGAAGCTCGGAATACAATCCACCCCATGGGTGGCAGGAACCCAAGTGCTGAGCCGTCACTGCTGCTTCCCAGGGTCTGCTTTAGCAGGAAGCTGGAGTCAGGAGCCTGAGCCAGTTATCAAAGCCAGGTACTCCAGTGTGGACACAGAGGTCTTCTCCACTAGGCTGAATGCCTGCCCCCTACTTCACAAACTTTGATCTGACCCTTAAAGCAGTACATATATCCAGTAATGTTGGAAAAAAGAAAAAAAAACAACCCTCATTCTTCCTCTTGACTTTGATACATCAGCATTCCATGCTAAATACACCTCTTTTAATCTTTGAGTGTATTTTTACCTCTGCGTAATCATGAAAACCTCTGAATATACATTGTTTACAGGAAATTAATCTTTGTTAGAAAATGGAAAAGATAAATATCCTACAGTGCACACATGATGTTTTCTTAAAATTCTACTGGCCGTCACCGTAGTGTGTGTTGGAGATGTGTTTAGTCAGACTAATCGTCCAAACTCTGGGTTTTTGACCCTTTTCACGTGGTCCCTTCCTCATTTCCTCTTCCTCCGGCCCTTTCACAACAGTTAGGAGAGGTCGGGAGTCCACTGCCTGAGTAGTGCTGGTAGTGCTGGTCGGGGGCTGGGTGAGGCTGGAGACATGTTGCTTTTATTCCCCCTTCTTACAATTTTATGTCACTGTAACCAGATACATGGATGACAGATGAGCATTTGTTGCTGCCAAAGCAGTTAATGTCCCTGTCCTTGAACACAGTTCTCTTAGGTGGCAGCGTTGTACGCAGCACTGGGAAGTGGTAAGACAAGGGCAAGCTGACTTGTTCTTCTTCGTCAGATGATACTTGCCATGATGCAGTGCAGCTTTGACACTGAAGCGTCTCCCCCGTTTTTATCTTTCAGGGTCCTAACCATTTAGCTGTTGTTTTGGGTGACATTGTGTTAGCAGTTATTGACTCCATTTTTGTGTGGTTCATATCCTTTACTTTGTCTTCCAAAATGATCTGGTAAATCACACATTCAGAGTGCTTCCAGTTTGTGATAGGGATAGAAAGCAGTGCCGTTCTGGATCATTGTTACTTCAGCACGGAAGTTCAGTTGAAGTGAAAAAGTCACAACTACCCATGCAAGGAATGTCTTTTTATTTTTCCTATTTAGTTCAGCAAGCATTTAAGTGCTCAGCAGGTGTCCCGTACTGAGGGGGCATCCTATCCCTGCAGTGAAGGAATCGCAGCCTGGGGCGGGGGGGGGGGGGGGGGGGGGGCAGTAATCCAACAATAGTGTTATTGTGCTTTTAGAGAGGTACTGTGTGAGCAGAGGGGAGAGAGCAAGTCCTTCCAGCCTAAGAACCAGGAGAGACTTCACGGAGAGGGCAGCCTTCAAAGTGAGACTAGGAGGACAAGTAGCAGTTTACTGGGAGAGCACGGGAGGGCGAGGCAGTCTGGGAGGAATCAGAAGCATGAAAATACAGGGAGTGGCGTGGAGCCTCCCAGGGTAGCTCGCCCTGGTGAACAGGTGTGAGAGAATCATCCATCGCAGGTGCGCCAGAGGGAGAGGAAATGACGGATCAGGGTTTCTAGCTCTCCTGAACACAGAAAGCAGAGAGAGGGATGAGCACTGTTTAGAAAGCATGACATACGACGATGGCTCAGGAAAAGAGAGATTAGAGGCAGGAAGTAGTAAGGAGTCACTTGCTGTGGTCTATAAAGAGGTGGCGGGGGTCAGAAATCCGTGGGGGGAGGGGTGGGATGCTAGACACAGGGGGCCAAGGAAGGAAGGGACTCTCCCTCCCCAGAGAACCTTGCTGGTCTCCTCCGCGTGGCTGGGGGCAGTACTGCCGTTCTGAAGGCAGTGACCCTGGAGGAGAGACTGTTAGGAAGAAGTTCTGAGCTACCCAGGGCGTTCGTGTGAAGAAGAGAGTTGGAAGTTAGGCCTGTGTTTGCGGGAGTCAAGTCACTGTGAAGATTGGAGGTCATCTTTGTGTGGGAGATGGTGGCAGCCTTGGAGTGACCGACAGAGAGCACGTGGACCAGTGAGGAGGAAACAGGAGCCAGGAGGGTGCCTGGAAGGAAGCCCAGGTGGAGGGGTGGGGGATCTGGAAGCTGCCGAGGGGAGATGGGGGCGGGGTGGTCCACCTCCCGAGGTGGTGCAGCGAAGGCCGAAGGCCGGGCTGAAGCCATGCTGCCCCAGGGAAGTGTCAGAGGCAGTGGATCCGCCAGGGTCCTCCCCTCTGACTGGCTGACTGCAGTTCAGCATGGAGGATCCCCCAGTTTTTCCTCCATTTTGGCACTTGTGGAAATTGGAAGAATTCTAGAGAAAAGATGGCCTGGTCAGAGCGCAATGCAGGGGTATGCAAATCCCAGAACATTATGTTTATCTGTTTCCTTGACATCTGTGTCCTGTTAGACACTCTGTCCTAGTAAATAAATTTCATTTTCTACCATGTTGTTTTTGTTTCTGCCGTCTTTGATACTTTGTCTTTTAGCTTTGAATTTTCTTTTATTGTTTTTCTTGTATTTCTTTTTTTTTTTCTTACTTCTTATTTTTCCCATCTGTGTGTCTCATCTCCCTTGTTGCAGGGGTGCTAGCAAATGTAGCACTGCCAGTGGGCTTTTCTGAGGCCTCTCCAAATGGTTTTCCAAGCCTGGGCTGCTTATGCTTTAAATTCCTACTTGTGAATACTTATATGCTTCTAAGTTTAACAACGAAAGCCTTTAATGTTTTGTCCTTACTCTCCAAAGCAGTGGCTCCTTTTTGAGTGCTGGGATCAGAGACACCTTTGAAAATGCAGTGAAAGCTGTGGGGCCTCTCCGTAGAACCAACACCACACAAGTTCACATACAGTGGGGCCGTTAAGCCCCCAGTTATATCCATGGTCTCCGTGTGTCTGAGCAGCCTGGCTAAGAAATAATACTTGACTTAAAGGGTTGTTTCTAACTGAACTTACTTCTCTTCAGAGCTATTTGTTTAGAATCCAAGCTTATTGAGTAAAATGGAAGTTTTAATTTTGACCTTCTCGGAGAGATATAAATATCTTCCTGTAGTGTGGCTTTTTCTTTCTTCATTAAAAAAACATTTAAAGACATCCAGTTGCTGAAATGGTAGAATATGAGACTACTTCAAGAAGTTCATGGACCAATGGAATTAAAAACTTATTTCAATACAAAAATTTTGAGGTCTGTGCATACAAGCCTATGCCTCAGTTCTGTGTGTGAACCAGAGTTCCAGCCATAAAAGGACTGGTCCCACAGGCTGCTGGCCGTGTGCAGCCATATCGTGTTACCTCTCAGGACGCTCTCTCGCCTGGAGGCTGGGAAGAAAGTATAAACACCCCTGGACTTGGGGGAGACAGCCACAGTGGATGTGAACCGGGCTGCTGGCCTTGGATCTTGAATGTCTTGTCTTCTGCCATTCTGTGTTTAGAACATGAGCCTCAGGTTTCTGTTCCATTTGGAAATCTTTTGTGCATGCTTGGAGGCTTCCACAGGTTAGGGAGAATAGTAGACTTTGCATTTAAAAGCATGTGCACTGTCTTTTCTCCTGGTAATTTATAGATAAGGATGTCAAAGATTATTTTGATTTTAACTATCCACCAGGTAGTTCATTGGGAAAAACACTCAGTAATGCAACTACTTGACAGAAAATCCCAGAGAAAAGCAGCTCTGATCCCATCTGGGTATGAATGAGGGTACTTGATGGTCTTTATGGATAGCATTGACTTTGGTACTTTCCAGTACTTGAAGAGCCAGACTGAGGTGGGGAGATAAGGAAAACAACATGAAAGGTTTAGTTTGATTATTAATGTTTGTAATAAAAGCATACAAATCATAAAGAAATACAGACATTAAAAACAGCTTGGTTAGTGTTTCATGGTGTAAGGAAGGAAATTTGATGTTCCATTTCTTCTTCAGCCTGAATTCGTGAAGTTTGCTTTCAGATTGCTGTTCGCTAATTCTCATCACTAAAGGGAGAAGTCTGCTCTCAGTACAAAAAGATAGTGGATTTCCTAGTGATTGCAGATGAAGCAAACGCAGCAGGCTAGCTACCTATATTAGTGAGTGCTTTGGATAAAGACCCTGCTTCCTTTAATTTTGATGAGCTTACTATGGCTAATTCTCTAACGCCCTGATGCTAAGGTAATAGGAAAACACAGCTTTCAGATTAAACAGTTGTAACCTCTCTCGTGTGCCCGCTGCCTTTTCCGCTTGTTGGTTGTATATTTTTGCTGTTTTGCTGCAGGCGAATGACTCTGATCTCGTCCTGCTGGCCAGCCTGCCCCTCTCTCTCCTTGACTCTGGCTTGTGCTGGTGGATATCCTTTTCCTGCGCAGCAGCCTGTTCCTGCTCTCAGACTTCCGAATGATGAGCCCTGTGTGCTTTGTTACTGCTTTCTTCTACTGGGAGGAGTGACAGAATGACTTAACCTTTACCTGAATGTAATTTAAGCAGAGGCTTAGGCAGTTTCAAATTTGCTTTTGATTTTTTTTCTTCCTTTGCTTTTTTTTTTAAGGTTTATGTATTTATTTGAAAGGTAGTGTGACAGAGAATTCTTCTATCCAGTGGTTCACTCCCCAAATGGCTCCAAGGGCCTGGTGCTGGTCCAGGCCAAAGCCAGGAGCCAGGATCCAGGAGTTCCCTCCAGGTCACCTGTATGGGTGGCAAGGGCCCACGCACTTTCTTCCCCAGGCACAGTAGCAGGGAGCTGAATCGGAAGCAGAACAGCCGGGACTCAAACCAGCACTTTAGTATAGAATGCCAAAGTCCCCAGTGGTAACTTAACCCACTGCACCAGTGTAGGCTCCAATTCCTTGGCTTTTAAAAAGCATTGTTGAGGCCGGTGCCGCGGCTCACTAGGCTAATCCTCCGCCTTGCGGCGCCGGCACACCAGGTTCTAGTCCCGGTCGGGGCGCCGGATTCTGTCCCGGTTGCCCCTCTTCCAGGCCAGCTCTCTGCTGTGGCCAGGGAGTGCAGTGGAGGATGGCCCAAGTGCTTGGGCCCTGCATCCCATGGGAGACCAGGAGAAGTACCTGACTCTTGCCATCGGATCCGCGTGGTGCGCCGGCCGCAGCGGCCATTGGAGGGTGAACCAACGGCAAAGGAAGACCTTTCTCTCTGTCTCTCTCTCTCACTGTCCACTCTGCCTGTCAAAAAAAAAAAAAAAAAAAAAAGGCATTGTTGAATTTTTAAGCAAGACCAGGCTGTTTGGTTTTGTCTTGATACGCTGAAAGAATAAAGTATATTTGCAGTTTTGTAGGTGCTGATGTTAGGCTTGATTGATTCGATTGCTTTGCTTCAGAAGTTGATCTCATTTTGTAACTTACTGGTCATTTACAAAGATGGAGAAGCAGTTCTGGTAATTTTCGTACTACAGTGAAGTTTCTGATTAATACAGAGCTGGCCGCTTCTGTTCTTTTGCTCAGCTCTCATTTTCAGCGTTCGGTTTGGGAACAAAGCCCGCTGCTGAGCCCCGGGGACCACGTGGCAGCTTCAGTGCCCGCTTCATGCCGCCGAGGGCTCAGTGGGAAACTGGAAGTCTCTTTTTGCCTCTTCATACCTGATGATGCTGACTCTGCCCTGAGCCCTGTGCTCCTGGAAGGCAGCTCAGGTTAAGACAGCGTGGGAAAAGACCACGGTGGGGAACGCCTGCCCCACAGGTTTTCCTGGGCCGGTGCAGGACCTGGGCATGTGGAGCTGGTTGTACCCGGACAGACTCCTGACCGGACCCCCAGCGCGGGGCTGGGCACCGGCCCGGCCCGCACGTGCTCGCCCGGGAAAGCAGGGCCCTCGGCGGCCCCACGCTGACGTCTTGCCCCGCTTAGCGGCCTGGGTTCCTCACGGAAGTCCAGCTGTCCTCGACAGCTTTCAGGGGCCTGTTTTAAATTTACAGTTGGAATGGAGAGATGACCTAACTTGTGAATTATGATCAGTCACAGCATAAAACGAGGACAGGCTAGAAATACCAGAACGGTAAATAAAGAGGCCGGGCCTCGCGTGGGAGCGCCTCAGCTGTCTTCCCCTCGGAGCTTGCCTGTTTAGTTCACGCTGGTAAATTGTGAAGCAAAATCTATGATAAAGGCACGCTCATGGTTGTCCACTGTTGGCTAAAGAACATTTTTAGCTCCAGATTCAAGGGCCCGCATCTAGCAATACTAACCGGAAATGCAGAAGACGCTTGCTTTGCTTTCTGTAGTTATTACTGTTTAAAACGATTTTATTCCTTAACCCTTTCCACATTTTTATAAGTTTGGCACAAACCATGAAGACTCTGAGGCTAAGAAAGAACACAGTAAAATTTTCACTATACAGACACTTTACAAACACTCTCATCTTTGCTGTGCTGGGTAAGTTCCTTAATTTCGTTTTAATATTAAATTATGTCAATACGACATGCTCTTTCAAAGGTGACTCTTGTATCTTTCAGCTTCTATAGTGTTTATGATATGGACAACGAAGACATTTAGAATTGCAAAATGCCAGTCAGTAAGTGTACTCTTCCTCTTCAACAGTTATCATTTGTAATCATGTAATTTTGTTTTGTGGGATTTTTTGTAAATAGAGGTAGTGTCAGTGGAGAGTCTCTGCCTACCATGAGCTATTTTGTAAAGAATTATAAAAAGCTTTGCCTGCTTTAAATGAATTGGAAAGTTCATCTTAAATCTTCTTTTCTCAACTTCTTTTTTGTGTATTTTGCAAAAGAATCCTCTTCTTGTGTAGTTTAAAGGAACAGGAAATGTTTTTCTTCCTGTGGGCACGCCTTGGGATGGTTTTGCATCTAAATGGAGCTGGAAGTCGTGTGTGTCTAGGGCGGCATCCTCAGCACGGACTCATGGGAGGTGTTGTCCAGTGGGAAGAAGAAGCATCCTTAGACTTAGGATATAAAAGGCCCCTGTCTTAAGGTTGGGAGCTGGCCTGTCCTTCTGAATAAACAGTAGCAAAGAGTCCTTTGAAAATCTTGGGCAGCTGCTGCCATTGGGATAATTTAAGGGGAGAAGGAGTTGAACCTCCTGTATTCTTTTCTCCTCTCTTCACCCTAGTACTTTCCACTACAAGTTCTAAGTATTTTTTCCATATTTTTTATTTTCTAAATCTTTGTTAACCATAAAATTTTATGGAAGGGAATCTTTACAATGTTAAAAACTCTGTAGAAACATTTTGAAAAATACAGGTTTCTTTTAAAAAATATATATATATATATGCGCTGTTCATTTGGAAGACTTAGTTGGGAAGAATCTTAGTATCTGTCGTTGAGTTCCATTTGAGTGGGAAATCTGTGTGCTTGTCAGAAAACTAACCTTTCACATTTGAATCGTCCTGATTTTAGGATTGGATGGAACGCTGGGTTGACGATGCATTTTGGAGCTTCCTTTTTTCACTTATCCTTATTGTAATAATGTTTTTGTGGAGACCATCAGCAAATAATCAGAGGTAGGAAAATTCAAGTTGCCACGAGTTCATTGGCCACCTTCTGTAGTGTCAAAAACACATTTGTTGAAACTGGGGAAGTGGTCCTAGCTTTGAAGGAATATATGGTCAAGTAAGAAGAGAAATATAAAATGCAAAAGAGTGAAGCTAGTGGTGTTTACATCAGTCCCTGAGGAATGTGGAAGAGGGAAAAGGCAGAATTGTGTTACACCCTGGGGAAAGGGCTAGGTCCATGGAAGACGGAGCTGGGGAAGCACACTGGGTGTTCTGTCTCTGGGAGAGGGGAAAGGTATGGCATCCTGTGGGTCAGAAATGGAGCAGCCTGGTCCTGAACCAGTACCCATATGGGATGCTGGTGTCACAGGTGGTGACCTCACCTGCTGTGCCAAAACACCAGCCCCAATAAACTTTTCTTTTGAAAGCTTTTATTTAATGAATACAAATTTCATAAGTACAGCTTTAGGAATATAGCAATTGTTCTCCCGATACCCGCCCTCCCACCCCCAGTCCTATCCCACTTCCTACTCCTTCTCCCATCCATTCTTTATTAAGATTTATTTTTAATTAACTTTATATACAGAAGACCAACTCTATACCAAATAAAGATTTCAACAATTTCCACCCACACAGACACACAAAGTATAAAGTACTGTTTGAAAACAAGTTTTACCATTAATTCTCATAGTACAACTCATTAAGGACAGAGGTCCTGCATAGGGAGTAAGTACACAGTGACTCCTGTTGTTGATTTAACAATTGACACTCTTATTTATGATGCTAGTGATCACCTGAGACTCTTGACATGCTCTGCCAAGGCTATAGAAGCCTTTTGAGTCCACAAACTGTCAGTATTTAGATAGGGCCATAAGCAAAGTGGAAGTTCTTTCCTCCCTTCAGAGAAAACTACATCTTTCTTTGATGGCCCCTTCTTTGCACTGTAGTCTCACTCACAGAGATCTTTCATTTAGGTCATTTTTTTGCCACAGTGTCTTGGCTTTCCATTCCTGAAATGCTCTCATGGGCTTTTCAGCCAGATCCGAATGCCTTAAGGGCTGATTCTGAGGTCAGAGTGCTGTTAAGAGCCTTTGTCATTCTATGAGTCTGCTGTGTGTCCTGCTTCCCATGTTGGAACAGTCTCTCCTTTTTAATTCTATCTGTTGTTATTACCAGATACTTGGTCTTATTTATGTGATCCCTTTGACACTTAATCCTATCTATATGATCAGTTACACACTTAACGTGATCACTTTAACAGGTAAGATGGCATTAGTACCACCAAGCTTAAGGGGATTTGGAGTCCCATGGCAAGTTTTTAGCTTTACCCTTAGGGGTAAGTCTGTGAGAATGTGTACCGAACTGTACAGCTCCTCTTCTTATTCCTGCTCCCAAGAAACTTTTAAAATGTAAACCCTTTTATATATGATGATTTTTTTATATATAAACTGAAAATTGAACAGATGTAAACATGTTAATAAAAGTCCTTTTTTTTTTATAGATATGCCTTCATGCCCTTAATTGATGACTCTGATGATGAAGTTGAGGAATTCATGGTAACATCTGAAAATTTAAGTGAGTGACTGTTTTTAAATGACTATTGTGCATATTGTATCGAAAGAATATTGTATATTCACCTGTGATACAAAGTCACATAACATTGTTTAAATATTTCCTATAAAATATTTTGAAAACTTTAACTACAGAACCCTCTGTTGTGGTAGACAGTAACAGAAAGAAAAATCAGTGATTAAATTTTCATGAGTGTTATTTGAGCTGTTGTTACTCATTTGCTCTTAAAAGTATTAAAGTAGGTACACTGTTTTTCCTAAGAATGGTTTGATAGATTACACTTACAGATTGACCGATGTTCATCTTGATGATTCTTAAGTGTATTTGAACTATCCGTTTTCCTCCTTTTTTTTTTTCTTTAAAACATTTATTTGAAAGTAGAATGAGAGGGCGAAAAAAGGAGGTATCTTCTGTTCACTGATTCACTCCCTGATCAAAGTTAGAAGCCAGAATCTCCAAACAAGTCTCCCACGTTGGTGTCAGTGGCCTAAATACTTGGGCCATCATGTGTGGCTTCCCAAGCACATTAGCAGGAAGCTGGGTCAGAAGCAGAGTAACAGGGGCCTAGTTCCTAGGAACTTAGAGATGGGATACGGGTGTCCCAAGCAGCAGCCTAACCCACGGTGCCACAGTGTCTGCCTCCCCCAAAGTGTGCACATCTCTAATTTCCGGTCATGTTCAAAGCCTTCCTAATCATGACTTTAATGCTATTTTCATTCTTTCTGTTGATTTCTTTGTTACATTTTATATTATTAACTTTAACATAATAGTCCAATTAAGCATTTGTTAAGGCGACATCGGTAAGTAACCCAGATATTAAGGGTAATTTTATCTGTTCCATTTTGCCTTTTCCGTACATTGTTTTCTCTGATCAGTAACCTCTGTCACAGTTTGTTCTGGTTTTTTCTTTGTTCAGTGTTGTAATGCGCGGTGGTCTGCCCAGTCTGCGGAGGTTGCCACCCAGTGGTTGTGTCTTCAGTATGCCCTCTTCCTTTGACTTCTTTTCATCTCTCTTTCACCTACAGCTAATTCTTTCATGGTTTCTGTCTCATATTAAGAGGGGGAACCTGAAAAGCTATTCACAGCTATATCGACACTGAATTTTAATATCCAACCATTTTATTCCTTTTAAGTTTAAAGTTTTGAGGGTGGGGTGTATTGTATCATTTATCACACTACTTATATCAGTATAAACTCCGTACAGAATACTAAAGAAAAAATAACTGAAGATATTAAAGAGCAACAAAAAAGTAGGCAGAAACTGGAAGGTATTTGGCTGTGGCAAGAGAGGAACCACATTCTTTATAACTGCAGAGTGAGGCTCCAACACGCCATGGGTTGGGCGTGGGGAGGTGGACAGTAGTCCCTGGGCTAAGAAGCAGTTCAGCGATTTCAGCAGGTGCCCACTCTAGAGTTTGAAGTTCAAGTCTCAGCGAGCTGAAAGGTCTCGGGTAAACACTTGGGCTCTCCAGTGAAACCCCTACAAGGGCCACAGCTTAGAAGCGACCAGTGGGAGCCCACCGTGGAGTTGAAGCTAAGCTGAGATAAGCCCACCCTAATAAGACAAAGCAAGCTCCTACAAGATCAAAATGGCCCAGCAGTAATTTTAAGAGAATCCAGAGAATGCTATCCTCAGCATCCACTGAGGAGTAGGAAGTTACTAGACATGGCAAGAAACTGGAACTGTGATCCATAGCCAATGGGAGAGAGTAGAAGAGACCCAGAGGTGACGCAAATGTTAAATTAACAAGAAGGACTTTAATAATTATAAATATGTTAAATAATCTACAGGAAAAGATCGGTGAATATAAGGGATACTACAGAGATGTGGGAAACCATGAGAAAAATAAATGCTAAGCTTAAAAAATAGAGTATCTGAAATCATTGCATGGGGTTAACAGTCCATGAGTGGACTGGATACAACAGAATAAAGTGAGCATTTGGAAACAAAGGAAATTTTGCAAAGTAGATTGTGATAAGAAACAGGTTGGACTCTTTAGAGTATCAGTTTAAAAATAATAATATGTTAGTCTTAAACCTATGCTAATAAGTGTATTAAATGCCAAGTAGACTGAATTCCTTGGTTAATAAGGAGAGCTTGTTAGACTATTAAAAATGAAATGAAAGTCAACTACATGATCCTGTAAGACATGCCTTAGAAATGCCACAGGTTAGGAGTAAAGGACGAGAAAGCCAGTGGAGCCATGTTAATGTTTGAGAAAGGAAGCTTTAAGGTGAGATATACCAAGGATTTTTTTTTTAAAGATTTATTTATTTATTTGAAAGGTAGAATTACAGAGAGGCAGAGAGAGAGAGAGAGAGAGATATCTTCCATCTGCTGGTTCACTCCCCATATGGCTGCAGCAGTGGAGCTGGGCTGATCCAAAGCCAGGAGCCTCTTCCAGGTCTCCCATGTGGGTGCAGGAGCCCAAGGACTTGGCCCATCTTCTACTGCTTTCCCAGGCCATAGCAGAGAGCTGGACTGGAAGTAGAGCATCCGGGACTCGAACCAGTGCCTATATGAGATGCCAGCACCACAAGTGGTGGCTTTACCTGCTACGCCACAGCTTCAGCCTCATAACCAGGCATTTTTTAAAGGATCATCTCTTAATCATAAAAGGGTGAATTTATCAAGAAGCTATAATAATTCTAAATGTGTATACATCTAATAATAGTTCTGTCAAATTTTGCTTCATATATTTTGAAGCTCCACAGAAAAATCCAGTCAGTCTTGCTACTTTAACATTCCTGTCAGTGATTAATAAAGCAAGTAGGTGTATCAGTAATGTTATCCAAGAGTTGAACAAAATCATCAGCCTAATTGATCTGTGCAAGTCTGCATTGAACAAGACCCTGTGGATGACCACAGAAATGTCTCCGTATATCCGTATATTTTCTTTTTTATTTATTTGAGAGGCAGAGAGATGGAGAACTTGTGTTTCTCATTCACTCCCCACATGCCTTCAATGCCTGTGGCTGTACCAGGCTGAAGTCAGTAACTGGAAATGCAGTGTAGGTCTCCCATGGGGGAGGCAGGGACCCACGTGTGTAAGTCATCCCTGCTGCCTCCTGACTGTGCATTAGAGGCAGCTGAAGCCAAAGCCAGGTGTGGAACCCAGGTACTTTGGTGCAGGACACTGCCATCTTAACAGGCATCCTAACTGCTAGACTAAATGTCCAGCCCTCCATGTATTTTCTCTCTTTCTCTCTCCCTCTCTCTCTCTTTTTTTTTTAAGGTTTTTTTTTTTTTTTTTAATTTAATTAAACCGTAGAATTACAGAGAGGCAGAGACAGAGAAGAGAGAGAGAGGTCTTCCATCCCCTGGTTCACTCTCCAAATGGCTGCAGTGTTGGAGCAGAGCCAATCCAAAGGCAGGGTCTGGGATCTTCTGGGTCTTCCACGTGTGTGCAGGGGCCCAAGACTTGGGACATCTGCTGCTGCTTTCCTAGGCGCATTAGCAGGGAGTTGAATCAGAAGTGGAGCAACCAGAATAGTAAACCCATGCCCATATGGGATGTCACAGGCGGCAGCTTTACCCACTGTGCCACAGCATCGCTCTAGCCCCTCCATGTATTTTTTTTTAAGATTGCAGACATAGAATATGTTCTGTAACCACACTGGAATTAAATTAGTCATTAATAACAATAGATGTCTAGAAAATAATCAAATATTTGGAAGTCGGTACATTTCTAAGTAACTCATGGATTAAAGAAATTACAAAGGATATTAGAAGTTATTTCACATGAGCTGGGTAGTAATATACCAGTTGGGATTACCACATCCCATATCAGAATGCTTGAGTTTGAGTCCTGGCTCCACTCTTTAAAAAAAAAAAAAAAGATTGATTTATTTATTTGAGAGGCAGAGCTATAGACAGAGGGAAAGGGAGAGAGATCTTTCATCCACTGGTTCACCCCCCCAAATGGCTGCATTGGCAGGAGTTGGGCTGATCTGAAGCCAGGAGCCGGGAGCTTGGGTGGGTGCAGGGGCCCAAGCCCTTGGGCCATCCTCCATTGCTTTCTCAGGTGCATTAGCAGGGAACCGGATCGGAAGTGCAGCAGCCAAGACTCAAACTGGCACCCCAATGGGCTGCTGGTGCTGCAGGCCATGGCTTTAACCTGCCACAGTGCAAGCTCCTTGGCTCCACTCTAGGTTCCAGCTTCCTGCGGTACATCCCCTGGAAGGCGGTGATGAAGACTCAACCATTCGAGTCCCTTCTACCACATGCGAGACCTATACTGAGTGCCGGCTCCCAGCTTCACCCCGGCCCAGCCCAGGCATCATGGGCATTTGGAGAGTGAACCAGTGGATGGAACTCTTTCTGTCCATCTGTCTCTCTCTCTGTGTCTCTGCTTCTGAAGTAAATGAAATAAGTGAAAATTTTAATAATTTTATACTAATTGATAAAAACATAGCATGTTAAATTTTGTGCAACTAAAGTAATCTTTAGAAAAAAATTTACAGCTTTTTTTTTTTTTTTTTAGATTTATTTGTTTGAAAGGCAGAACACAGAGAGAGGGAGAGACAGACTGAGGTCTTCCATCTGCTGGTTCAGTCCCCGAATGGCTGCAAAGGCCAAAGCTGGGCCAGTCCAAAACCAGGAGCCTGGATATTCTTCCAGGTGTCCCACGTGGGTACAGGAACCCAAGCACTTGGGACATCTTTCCTACTTTCCCAGGCATTTAGCAGGGACCTGAATCGGAAATGGAGCAGCTGGGACACAAACCAAAGCCCATATGGGATGCTGGTGCCACAGGTGGCAGCTTTACCTACTGTGCCACAGTGCCAGCCCCAGCTTACAGTTTTTTAAATTGTTTGTGTTACCAAGAAAAAAAGAAATTGTAAAATTAGTGTTCCATGTAGCCACTTTAAGACCTACAAAAAAGACAAACCCAGAATAAATAAAAGGAAGGAAATTATAAATTTAAGCAATAAAAGTTTCTGTTTCACCAATGAAATAGAAAGCAGGGGGAAATTGAGAAAAATCGACAAAGCCAAAGGTA